TTTTTTTTTTTTTTTGTTATTTTTTTTTTGTTAAAACTGATATCCACTGGAAAAAGTTACCCACCCATTTTTGGCGACAGCAAATATGTCATTGTCATTGCTCACGAGAAGAGTAAAAAAACGCTGCATGTGAGGGTTAGTTGTCGATTCATCCATTATTATTCGAAAGGTTTTTTTTTTTTTTTTTTTTTTCAACCAAGTCAAAGTGACCCAAATATTTTGTAACGATTGTACGGTATAAAGTGGGTATTATTTCCGAATTGAGGATTTATTGAGGAGATACTTGCTATGTATATACTAGTCGATGCAGAGAGAGAGAGAAAATAGAAAATAATATCTGCGCTATTGCCATAAATTTGCAGTTTCACCTTTTTTTGTTGTAATCTACCTCGTGAATAGTTTTTTGATCCATAGCAAAAGTCCTCCCACGCGTTACAAAGAGTTTGAATTTACGAAAACAAATCAGAAATAATAGTTTTCCTACGAGTTTGAAAAGTCTTTGTTTGCGAACCGAGAGGTTTGCGGCCCGAGCCGAAGGCGAGGGACGTAACGAGGTTCGTAAAGGAGACTTTTCGAACGAGTATCGGAAAACTGCTTTTTTGCCCAAGGAAGTACCAGCCTCCCAAAACCACCCGAGGGCGGAAATTGGTAGTTTTCCTACGAGTTTGAAAAGTCTTTGTTTGCGAACCGAGAGGTTTGCGGCCCGAGCCGAAGGCGAGGGACGTAACGAGGTTCGTAAAGGAGACTTTCGAACGAGTATCGGAAAACTGCTTTTTTGCCCAAGGAAGTACCAGCCTCCCAAAACCACCCGAGGGCGGAAAAATAATTTTCTCTCGTAAAACAGCGACAAAATGTGATCAGCCCAGAGCCGCGTGTCGGGAAAGAACCGCTCGTCCCTCGACGCTGTTGGCAGAAAAACCGGGCAAATTGTTTTACCACCAAAGCAGCGACGCGTGCTCAACTCCGAGTTCGCAATCTCGTCGAGTCATCTCTCGCTCGAGGTCAATCACGAGGCGCCGGAGTAACGTCCAACGGAGTAAAAGCATCAACGGCAGCAGTGCCTCGTTAGAGTTTTTCCTCGGAAACATTGTCGTTGTTCGAGCTTCGCTGAACTTTGGATAGTAAAATAGGATCGCGAGACGGATGGATCGTTTGGCGCGTCGGCTATGACATTCTTGCCTCCTACAAGGATTCCAAGAGATGCTCTGCAAAGTGGGTGTGTGTATGTGTGTGTACAAGTACAACTGCGAAATGAGCGACGCTCCGCTTTGCAAAGTTATAATCTGCCGAGTGTTGCTGGGAAATTTGAGAGTTTCTACCATCGCTTATATCTCATCTTCAGCTCTTCTTTTTTTGTGCGAATTTATTAAGCTTTGCTATTTCCTCGCCAGTGATAAATAAAATCTCCCACTCGATACAATGTTTCTAAATGGATTTTTTAATACTACAAAGTTAATTTTTTTTTTTCCTACAATTTAATGTATTATTTTGAAAAAGTATTATCTCAAGTCTGCAATCGCTGTTTTATTTTTTATTTTTAATGAACGATCAGTGGTGAAATAGCGATTGAGGATCCCTTACCGTTTGCATCGCGGTAGTAGGCGTGCGTTACGCTCCGGAATCTTTCCTGGCCGGCGGTGTCCCATATTTGGAGCTTGACCTGAGAGTCGTCGACAGTGATTATTTTGTTCTGAAAAAAAAATTCATTCGTACATTAAGTAATCGTGCTAGCATTCATCTATATATTTTTTTGTGATCTTGTTTTCTGTTTCGTGTAGTTGCTGAGTCTGATGAATGTTTGTGTACCTCAATTGTCAATAAAATCACTTAAACACTAGTGTAAACGTGTATAACAACAATTAATTCGGAAAAATCACCCTAAAATCGATGCCAACAGTCGTAATATGATTCCCTGAGAGAAACTGACCATCGCGAAACTTTGTGAGGATGCAGGTTTTTCCTACTCCACTGTCTCCTAACAGCATCACCTGGATATTTCAAAAAATGTTGTTTTAGCTCCAATGATGTATTTCATTATAGTTTATTTCTTGTGCATCGATCATCTTTGTGGTGGATGAGACATTTGTTTTAGCTTGCAGAATTTTTTCCGTATGAGGAAATAAGTTTTAATATTTTGGTCATGATTCACCCTCAATATATACAACTAACAAGTGAAAACTATAAGTACTCGCCAAAGCTGAAGTAGAAAAATTAATAAATTTTTTGTTTTGTTTGTGTTAATGAAATTGTTTCCCTGTGAAAATGTGCTAAAAGGATTGATAAAACCTCGACTGCTACTGAACGCGAAATGTATTGAGAAAAGCGAAGATAAAAATTTAAAATTTAAAATTTCACATAAACTTTGAGAAAATTTTTGTTTAAATTGTTAAATTTTATTTAATTTATTTTTGTTTTACTTATTGATAATAATATTAATTAGGAAATATTTCACGGAAACAAAAATCAATCAACTATATTTAAAATCTTCAATGAATATTCTGCATTTCCTACCATAAATATTTAATGACCGATTCATATCCGCGCATCCATTCAAAATTTTTCAATATTCATGCTGCAAATATACGCGCGCGTATCCAATATCCAACCTCTACTGCGTTTCTACTATTTATCAAAGAGCTGAGTAAATACTGGAATGAGCGTACGCTCGTAAAACAAATCTTTGTGATTTTTTTGTCCTGACTAATAAAATTGCGAAAATTTATTTGCAAAATAGAAAAATCGTATCTTTTTTTTAAAACTTGTTAACAATTATTGACTTTGAAAGAGCGCTGGACACAGTACAAAGGCAGGCTATACAAACGAGCATTACTCCACTTACTGTACCCACTGTACAGTGCTGTACTTACACCAAAGTGAGCCACGCTACCACCTGGTAATTTTGCAACAAAAAAACCAAAGAAAAAACAGTAATTTGTTAAATAAATAAATAAACCGCACTGGTCATTTTAATGTTCAGCGCTCTGTCTCCAACATAGCTTCTTTTGGTCGGAAAAAAAAAAAAATAAAAAATAAATCAACAAAAGATAAAACAAAAAAATAAAAACAAATATCCTTCAACGTATCCCCGCTTGCAATAAGCGCCAACCATGTATAAGTATCAGCGCACACGTATCCACACTCACCGATGGCGAGCTGCAAAAAATGCCGATCTAGGCGCTCGACAACAAAAGTCTAGCCGCCACAAAGAGGATCGTTGAAAGGCAGTCTTAGTAAAAGGTATCCGGCCGGCAGCATAAGGCGCAGCTGCCACAGGTAACCGCTCCGTGGTTCTCGACAAAAGGAACACAGCAAGAGACGGTATATACACTCGAAGGGGAAAGGGAGGATCGTGAGGAGGTAGACCAAACGAGCCACGGTATACAGGTATACATACGCAACGCCAACGAGGAGGTGGAGGAGGAGGAGGCCGACAGGTAGAACAGAGGGGGAGGGGGGCATGGGTATAATTCGAGCATACCTTGCAGCTGAGGTCGTAGTGCTCGGGTGTGGCCTGCGAGGAGCAGGCGCTGTCGTTCGAGGACTGTCGACGCGCCGGCTGGTGTTGCTGGTGGGGAGTGCTCGTTGGGCCCCGGCTGCTCGAGGTGGGGGCCCAATCGCCGGTGCTGCTCTTGCGCTGGCTGTTACTGGGCCCCGGCTGGGCTCTCGAGTGCCGAGACTCCTGCGAACTCATGCTTCCCTGCTCCCGAGAGCACCAATTTGCTCTTCTTCTTCTCGGCCACTCCTCGCGGATTTCTCTTTCTCTCTCTCTCTCTTCCTCTTTCTCTCTTCAGGCGCGCGCCTCTATGTGTGTTTCGGTGATGCTGCGAGCGCAGGTCGTGGTCTTTGGCTGTATACGTTGTTGGCGAACAAAGTTCAGTCAACCTCGCGTTGCGCGACCGAGGCAGGGAAAGGCCGCGAAGCGCTCACTCGCGAGTAGACCTCCTTGCTCGGGCGATATACCCCAGGGCCGTAATGATGATGCAGCCGGTGCCCCACAGTCGCGCGATAAATGTACCAGTTGTTTCCTCGTTGTCACCTCTTTTGTTGTTACATTTCTATTATCTGCTTTCCTTTACAATTGTCATTATGGATACTGTTTATTTCTACAGTTTGTGCTGTTGGTGCCTACGAAATTAAACATTGTTCAGGCTCAGACGAAGATAAATGCAACTTAAAGATACTTGAGCTTCAATGAGTGGCTGGCTGCGAAATGCAATGGAAAAAAAATTTGCTCATACGTCTCTTTGAGAGCATTCCAAATGATGCGACAGTGTCATGCAGTCCTATTTAAAACCAATACTAATGTGTCGCGTCATTTGGAATACGTCCTTTGAGTCTAACTTGAATTAATACGATTCACTGTAATCTGATTGAAGCTCGTGGGGGTCGTAAAATTTTGGAATAATCGGTTTAATTATTTATAGTTACGTCAAGATTTTCACAAAAAAATCTGACATACTTGGGGCTGATAGGAATCATTAGGAGAAAAAGCTGTTTAAAAATAAATATTTTAATATAGCCTCTAGTAACAATATTTCAATAATTATAAAAAAAAAAATCATGAAAAAATGTAAGGCGCATCATTTATCAAAAAATGTGATGGTCAATATACACAAACTATTGCTTAATGTCGATAAAGATCTGTCTGATGTAGATTTATCATTTCTCACATAGCAACGCATTTCCACGGCCATCACACTAGAATTTTTTTATCAAGTAAAGTTTGGAAATAAAATATTATGTGCACTCTCGATGTACGAAACAAAAAGTACCAAAATTTTCAGTTTTATATTAAACTTTCTCACATTTTTGCTACAGCGCCACGAGGCGTCTTATTTTTCTTTAGACTTTAAGAGCCGTACGTTAGTTTTCATTGAAGCGCATTAAACTGCACTTGCCTTTGCCAGAACACGAGAACTTGATATATTTTTCGTAAAAGCTTATGGAACTATGACTATCTTCGTACGTAGTGAAATGGTTGTATTGGTTCAACTTTCTTTTGATCGTATTTAAAAATTGGTTGATTTTAATTTGAGTTTTTGCAACTTTTCGCTACTTTAAAGCACCATTTTTTTATACATCTCAAATAACAGATATTTTTTAGGGTATTGCTATCGTTTATTTTGTATATTGTATCATTCTGTATGAGATGTCAAAGACAAAAATTGAATTTTATTGCAAAAAGTTTACTTTTTTTTTAATTAAGAGAAAGTTTAGGAGTATTTTTTATCTACCAACTAAAATTTTTTATGCATTTATTCATTTACAAATTTGTTATTTTTGTATTCATTTATTATCATACACGCATGTTCAGTTCCTTATATTTACATTAATTATTGAGAGCTAAAAATATAATTATGTTAGCGAGGATTTATAGTTGATTAAATTCCAAAAAAGTAAAATAATAAATCTGTAATATTAAACTTATACAGTTATGGATTTGGAATTAAATTTATCTATTCATCATTTGATGATTGTGAACTATTGTTTTTGTTTCATGTATTTATTTTTTTATTAAAAAAATTTTTCACTATTTATTTTATTAAAATCAAGCTATCTGTATTTCAATTTCAGTTAGCTAATATCAGACGATGTAAGATCATAATTCCATTCTCGACCAATTAACCACATATAAAATTAATACTATCTTGGAAGCGAAGGGAATCAGTTTAAAATTTTGATTTTACAATTTTCTGATTAAATAAGTTTTATTATTTTACTCAACAAGTTGTAAAAAACGGTAGAAATAAATTAAATTTAGTTAATCAACATGACATTTTTTACCGTTAAAACTCTTTTCTTATACACTAATAAAATTTACAAATAAATACAAAAAAATGTTAATAGCATGGAAATACTTTTTTTATTGTAGTAAATATTTTTGAATTGGTTTGTTGAGAAAAGGCAAGCCAAATAAAATTTATCATGTTAAGTATAAAAAAATTACATTACTTTTGTCAAGGATAGCTAAGTCATCTCAATAATGTACCTCTGAAACAACGATTATGCTATTCGACAAACGTCTCACAAATAATAATATTTGTTTTTAAGTGAGTTTGTTATTCACGAAACAATCGGTCATTAATGTCATGCTTCAAATGCAATGAATTTCTTGCATCGATAATAATTGACTTTTGATGCATTTCAAAGCTTATTACGGCCAAATATTGAAAATTGAATGAATAATGTTTATTAAATTTTATACATTTATTTGAGAACACATTTACAACCGATGCAGCGTTGCATAAGCATCTTTTTTCATCGGCGATAATTATGCGCAAAAATTATTAGTTAGTCATACTCATCTTGTTTGTAGGTAAAAAAACCAGCCTATGATGTAAATTTTTTGTTATAATTTATTAAATGATTTTACAGTAACTAGTTATTTATTCTCAAACCTATTTGGAATATTGAAATGAGCATAAAAATAAAGTACTCGCTCTAGTTGTATCGACTAGAAATTAATTCCAAAAAACTACGGTTAGAATGAAATTTTAGATGGATGGACGATTTTAATTTTAAAACTGGTGTATTAATAAATTCGATCTTGCACCCGTAATAAAATAAAGTAGGGGTTCAGTACGTATCCTCCGTAATAAATGCAACGTTTATGCATGAGTTTTGCTCGTTCCATCAGGATGTGCAGTGAAACTTTGAAATTAAGTGCAAATATTATTTCCTCCCGAGGTCGTAAATAAAATTTACATTTGAATACTAATTAAGCGCTGCAGTCCCGTTTGGTTAACCGAAATGAACCCATTACTCAGTAGCGTTTTAACTGGAGATAAGTTGACCTATCTTACTTTTATTTTACGCGATCCTCGTGAATTTATTGTACTTTTGAAATATTTGTCTATTGTGGATCTAGAAAAATGATCAAATTCAGTATAACAATAGTACTTTGGATCAAGAAACGATTGATTAACGAATACTGTATTATTAATGCTTTATTTCGATAAATATACTTTGGATCTAAAGTTTCTCGTACGAATAATGGAAGATTGGGACAAAATATGATGTTTTTAATAATAGAAATAATCTATTAATAAATAATACCTGCTATCAAAAATGTAATAATTAAAGTTCAAAACAATGCAGTTATGTACTTTTTGAACAATACTGAATAATTGTACCTCAGTTTCATAAGATACCGCGAAATTCATCTAGAACTATTGCGGCTATGGATAACTTGTAACCCCTGATACTTTCAAACAAGTAAATTGTATAATTATCTAGATAATCCCCGTTCATGAATTATAAGTCAACATAATTTTTTTTTTTTTTTTTTAGTTAAAGACCTATATACCCTTGAGTATGCATAAACAGAAACGGAAAGAAACCAACTATAAAAGACAAAAAATGTTTATTGTGACCATCGGACGCCATTTCGTAGTGTTGAGTTTCAAGTTGAACCCTCGTCTAGTTTAGAAACCAAAAAACAACAAAGGCCAAGCGATTTGAAAGGATAATCGGCCAAGCTTCGCGGAACCAATGTGACTCGCTTCCTCTGCCTCGTGCGTACCTGTTAGCCGAACTCCCGATTTTTTTGGTCTCTCATCGCCCCGGGCGAGTAAGCTAAATGGTCCCTCCGACTCGCGGAGGCTGGAGTCGAAAAGAGAGAAAGAGGACGCAGCTTGCCCTCTCTCTCTCTTCTGCCTCGAGCCCACCCACGTTTCGGCCGAGATGAAAAGACGCGTGTGGATCTTCCTCTTTTCTCGCTTCCAGAAAAAAAAAAGAAAACAAATAATAAACGAAAAAGATCTCCAAAAAAAGACCGAAGAGGGCGTAGAGGGGGGTCGAGACAGCACCCGACTAGTGGCGCCCCCGCTCGATAATCCGCCACAAGCCACACGCTCCAGTTGCTCGGGTGTACCCACACATACATACTCGCGCTCCGTCTCTTTTTTTTTCCTTCTTTCTATCTCTTACTTGCTACACGTACTTATATATAAGCATTAAACTATACGTGCTTGCTGCCGGCTCGTTCTTTGTGCCGGGGCACTGACACCATCTTGTCACGTGACTCACGACCGACTCGCTTTGGACTGGCTGCCTACACGTACTTATATACTCTCTCCCTCGTTCGTTGTGGGTACATGCATTCGACTTTTATATATAGCCACGTAAGAATAGTCCTATACCTGGGTACGATCATTCCCTATGCGAGTACCTACAACTTTTGTCTTTTTTTTTTTTTAAATGACAAAGGTTACAATACACACGTACTATAAATGAAGATATTGTGTAGGTTTTTTTTTTTTTTCATTCGTGCATAAATAAATATGCTGTTGACATGAAATTATCAACCGTGTAGCACGTCAACGACTCTTCGTATCCATATTATATTCCAGAAGACACACAAAAACGACGTACGAATGATCAAAGTAACCGCAGGCATTTCTTGATCTCCTCGTGCGTGTATTTTCACAAGCAAAGTAAAAAAAACGCTCCAATTGATGTATCTATTTCCCCGAAGGCATAAGTAATCAAACGATTCCGCGACTCCCTCCTTTTGGTGGTATTCATTTTTAACACTTCCCATAACAGAGCTCCTTCATACCCGCGATGCATCTTCCCTTTGGGGTTTTCCTGCAAAACAGAGAACCAAGGAAAGATGCATCTCGCGGCTACGAGCGTGAAAGGAAGAGAAACAACGCTTCGAAATATACTATACACCTATACCGTGTGCGCTCTCGTGTCTGCGTATATAATTATATTGTATGCACTTGCACTCACGCGCAACAGTAGCAGCAGCAGTCGTTAAAAAGCGTTATACAGCTCTCGAGCTTCACTTTACTACGTGTATGTATATATATATATGCCTAACGCTCTAAGTGTGCACCGCGAGTCGGCGAAGCAAGTTGAACGTCCTGTCTATAACGCGACTCGTCGTCGTCGCTGCTACTATATGGCTTTTTGTCCTCCTTACATAAAGGCACGATATACCCGGCTGTGCGTCGTTTCACGCGTTTGCAGTAGCGACAGTTGTAACTAAATCGCTTCTGGTTACCAGTACAGAAAAAAGAAAGTTTGTGTAACGAGAGAGAGAGAGAAAAAGAGTTGGACTGAAAATTCGCGTCCCGCGAGAGCGATCGGGAAAATCTTATACGGGCAACTTTCTAATCGGAAGCTGTTCTCGGGGCTGGGCTGTCTCGCGGTTTCATTGAAATCGAGATCAAGATGTGCTTCTCTGCCGGCGTTCT